AGAGGGTCGTCACATCACTTATTTTACTTTGGAAGGAAGCGGAATTGAAATATATCTTTCTTCAACTTAAAATTCTTTGCGAACATATTTTACTTATTAGAGGGTAAATTACCTCTAATACATAAGTTCCTAATAGTTCTGTTTGTGCATTTATGGAAATGTTTAAATGCCTTCAAATGAGATTGGGTTGGTTTCTACAGAAGCCCAGAATGGACAAACCAACCATTTTATTTTTGTTTTCTTCTCTTCAATCTTTCCTCCTCTTCTCTTGCTCCCTTTTTTTAGATTTATTTTCATGTACATGTATATATTTGTATATTTGTGTATATGTACAGTATTTGTGTATTTACGTGTAGATATATATGTCCTTTATTACCACCTAGCCTCATTCAACACCCTTCACTCATCCATTAACCGGCTCACACGAGTTAGCATTCGGTGGCAATTTGCCACCTGACCACAAGATGTCACTAAATCCTCCACACGGCTCTTTTAAAGCAGTGATTCTCAACTGGTGGGTCGCGACCCAAAAGTGGGTCGCGGATCCGTTTTCAGTGGGTCTGACAAAAAAAAAAATGGAATTTTATTTTGAAGGGCATTTTTTATGCAGCGGAATTATTCCAGCATTTACGGCACTTGTTCAGCGGTGCAGGAATCACACCGACCAATGCGTTGTGAATCACATCACCTGATGCAGCTCAGCCAATCAAATATGGGCATTCTGACAAGTTTCCTGACTTGAGTGAGATGTACACACACCGTGACACACGGGGGAGAGACGAGGAGAGAGACAGCAGAGCAGGACTGTTGAGGTGTGAGATGTGAAAGTCAAATCATAGGATGATCTCCAAAAGAGAAGAATGGCCAGAGAGACCAGAGTCATTAGACTCTGACTGGACAGACTCATAGAGGTGAATTCTTCCAACACTCATTTCTCTTTTTGGAAGATGAGATAAATATAATATTGTGTCTTTATCACTTCACCCTGAATGAACTGAATTTAAAGCTGCAGGACAATTCAGTGAAAATAATTTTGCTAAAATGAATTTCGTTACGTAATTTATTTTTTAATCCAGCCATTATTTTACTTGAAATGAGAAGAACATTTATTTATGTATTTCTATGTATTATTTATAATCCATAATTGTTAAAAATATAATTGATGTGTACTTTCTTTATTTGATTTGGCAGTTGTTTACTACACAGAGACGTTACTACTACTAGACTTCTTGAATATAAATATACCCAAATTATATACATATATATATACATAAATTGGGTCGTGGGTCGCGGTTTGTCATTAAGGGGTGATGGTGGGTCCCGCAGCCAGACCAGTTGAGAACCACTGTTTTAAAGGACAATGAATAGTTTTATAGAAATTACATTCTTGTTCTACTTAGTGATTGACAGCAGAGATGATCAGAGGAGCAGAGTTTTTACCACCATGATTGGGACCAGGACTGAAGAATGGGTAGAGTTTCTCAGTGAAGCTGAAGCCAGTAAAGGAGTAGATAAGAGCTGCAGCATCAACGTCATAAAAGGAGACCAGACCCTCCTCATAATCCACAAACACCCCCACCTTCTGAGGCTGAGACTTCAGAGAGAGACGGACTGAAGGGTCAGCAAGAGCAAAGTACTCAATTTGTTTTCTCAAACATATCGTCCAGTAACCTTTCTGAGGAGTCAGTGTGATGATTCCCTTCTTGTTGGTTGACTCTTTGGCCACTCCTAAATCCCACGCAGTCTTCCCTTCAACCTGAACCTCGAAGTAAAATCTTCCCGAAGAGAAACTCTGCTTTGATAAAACACAAGTACAAGAGTCAAATCTCCTGGATTTGTCTGGGAGATTGTTCTCTATGTCACCGTGTTTGACTTGTTTCCCGTCATCAGACAGGATGAGTTTGGGATGTGCCGTATCAGGATCGAGGGTCACATCCACCGCAGACTGCTGGATCTTCTTCAGGTTGGCCTTGGTCACAGCCTTCTTCATCTGTTTAATAAGCAGATATGCAGCTGTCGTTGAAGTCCCCTCATATGAAGGTGGACTGACTCTGACTCCTGTCCAGTTCTTGGTGGGTGGAGCAGTGTTCAGGGTCCTGAAGCTCTGGAGGAGGTGGAGGTGGTCTTCAGAGCATGAGAGCTGCTCCACCTCAGTGCTTCTCTTCTTCAGCTCAGAGATTTCCTGTTCCAGCTCTTTGATGAAGCCTTCAGCCTGTTTCTCTGTCTTTCTCTGCTTCTCTTTGATCGTGTTGATGAGCTCGGCCTGGCTTCTCTCAACAGACTTCTTCAGAGCAGTGAAGACCTGAACACCATCTGCTATCTCTCTGTCTGCATCTTCCTCACTGAGCTTCGCTGAGTGTTTCATCTCCTGAATCTTCAGTCGGCTCTTCTGGATCATCTGCTGAATTTCAGCCTCAGTCTTCCCCAGCTCGGCCTTCTTTCTTTCATATTCTGCTTTCAGAGGAACGCTGTTATGTTTCTTGTGGTCTACGATCTTCCAGATAAAGAAGACACACCAGACTCAACACGGTGCAATACAGGATCGTCAGTTTCATTCTTAAGGAGACGTTACGGGGAACTTCTCCCGGTTTCTGTTGAGCTGGCGGTCTGAAGTGAAAGCCTCGTGTTGAAACTCTTTTTTAAAGTGGGACACAGATCGGGGTTCAGAAGTTGTGACTGGATCAGTGAACACATCCAGATAGAAATGTATCAAACGAGGACAAAAGTGTAGTTTAGTTAATGTCAGTATGACAGTGAGTAGAAACTTAGTGAATATGAATATGATCATCTGTACTCACCGCTGTTTGTAAGAGACTCCTGATCAACCTGCGTCAAATGAGCGTTTTGTATCTGATGAGGTTAAACTGAATCTTCAGTGTGGTTCCGCCTCTTACTGCAGCTCTGTAGGACAGCTTCAATCACCTTTTATCACCGGCATAGCTTTCAGTAAACGATTAGTTTAATCTCACGGAAGACGCCTTGACAAAAGACAATAAAACTGAAGCGGCCAGTGACAGATTGACAGAAACCTGTTGTATCTTTAGTGCCTCTATGAGGACCAAACAATCGTCCAAAGTTCAGCTCGTAGTCTAAAACTGTCATGTGATCGTCAATCAGCTGATTTGTTGGTCTCAGCATCAGTAACTCATTGCTAGATCTTTATACTCTTTATACTTTATACTGTGAACTTTAATATTTTGCACATTCCTGCACAAAACTCTACAGCTCTTCCAACTTGAAACAGATATATTGCACCTGTTTTTATTGTAGTTTTTAATTTTTAATTGTAAAGATGGTCTATTGTATATTTATGTTTTTTTCAGGAGTTGCTTTTTATTTTCTTATTGTTTTGGGATGTCTGTCCGCCTATCTGTCTGTTCCGTCTTCCTGAACGTGATACCTCAGAAATGCCTGCAGGTATCACAAACGTTCACTTGGACCACAGACTGTAAGAAGTGGACGTAGTCGTCGTGACGTCTCATTAGTTTGTGGATGTTTTGAAGCCTTGAGTTCAGCATTTTGGCCGTCGCCATCTTGTTTTTTTAGCAACCAGTGAACAGCAAGTGACCATATTTGGACTGAGGAGGAGTGACGTAGAGACGCCTGTTGTTGAGTCTAGCAGCTGTGGAGACATCATGGTTCAACCTGCCTCATTTAAAAGGCCTTGATACACCGAGGACATGACTAAGAAACAATACAAATGTGAAATATTCATGCTGGCAACGATGTTAATTTACGACAGTTGCAGTACTTTATTATTAAAAAAAGGTTTAAATAGATTCTTATAGGCAGAGGACCAACTACCAGGATCATAAACTGTTGTAGCCTAAAGCTACAGTCAGACAAGTTTCCTTTGAGTGAAATGTTCTGAGTGAATTTAGGGTTCTGGTCTGCGCTGCTTTTGTCAAGGCTGACAGGAGTAATAAAGTTTGACGTCTTGTGAAAACCTACTTAACAATAAACTTGATTTTGATCAGACTTTAAAGAATCTCATCATATTCATGTTTACAGGTTTATAGGACACTCAACAAAACATTCTGCTCTCATCCACCTCCACCCGATGATCTCAGTGCAGTATTATAACTGACAGAAACAACAGACAAACCTACAAATACATCATTTAAAAAACATATGATCATGTAAATATTTAGTCTCCCAATTTCACATGTAGAATAACTTACAACCACATGACGTGATATCACTGTAACAGGATATAGAAACTAAACATTGTACAGCTGTTTGAATAACGTCCTTTAGACGTATGTCAGTCCCCCGTTCTTTGGAGCGGAGCTTGTTCTTTGGTACTTTTAGTGTATTGTCTGTTGGCTCTAATGAAGCTGGAGGAGCAGCTCTGTGTGCCTCTGATCTTAATAAAGTGAAACGTTGTAAAACAGAGAAGCTCGACTGCTCTCCTTTAAAAACCAACGACAAAAACAAATGAAATGGTCTGAATGTGTTTTAAAGGAACTCTGCAGCAGATCATCCTGAATGTGACTGAGCTCCGTCATCAACATCTTTTAAAGAGAGAAGAGGTGGAATAACTCCTGGTACTACAGTGTTTGGCCTGCTGCCTGTGGGGGGGGGGGGGGGGTCTGGTCTGGTTTACGGCTGCAGACGCTGGTTAACTGGTCCCAGATGGCCCAGTGCGCTGGCCTGAGGAGGCTTCCAGTGGAGCTCAGCATCAGGACAGACGTGTGTGTTTACTGTGTGTTTGTAGAAGTGTCGTCACAGCGAGACGTTCAGGTTCAGTCGGACACGTGTGTTTCTACATTTGTATTTAAATCCACCGGTTCATCTCGTAGTGAATCAACTAAATACTCAACAAGCTTTTATTAAGCTGCAGGGGAACAAATCTAACTTCAATTAAAGATGGAACTACATTTAGACTATCATAGGTTGAACAAGTACTTTAGTAAGAAGCACTGATATCAAGGTGTAGAAATACTTTGCTATGTAGTAGTCCTTTACAATGTTAGTATCATAGTTATTGATGCATTAATAATTTCATCACATTAAAGGTGGAGTTCATTTTATATACTGCTGGTACTTTGATCTATAATAATACATCATTTATTAGCTGATTAATAACATTAATGAACTAAAGCTGTCAGATTAATATAGAGCAGTAAAAAGTACAATATTTACCTCTAAGATGTAGTAGTATAAAGTATAAAGTAGCAGAAAATGGAAATACTGAAGTAAAGTACGAGTACCTAAAACGTGTGCAGTATTTGAGTAAATGTACTTAGTTACATTCATTGCTGAGAAGAGATGCAGAAGATGAAATGTTTTCTGTCGGACTTTTCCTTCAAACGTTTCCTGAAGCAGAAGCACTGAAACATGAGAGCTCTGTCTGAATGAATCTTCTGTTACTTACTGCTGCCTAGTGGACAACCAGCAGCAGACAGGAGGAGGTTCATACAACTTATTAATGCAAAAACATAGAAATACAGAAAATACATGAAAACATCGAGTGACGACAGGAAAACTAGAGTAGAAACCGTCGTCATCAGCCATGTTAGACAATGTGCTAACTCGTCTTCTGTCAGACTAGAGGAAATAAAACATTTATTTTAATACTTTGTCTGTTTACGTCTGTATATTTCTACTAAATTCAAGAAAAGTTACCGTTACATAATGCCTCATTTGCATATTTAAACATAACATGTCAGTAAACTTGTAATACTAAAGATACTCCTCTTAATGTGAGTGATGAAGTGGTGAAGTTTCATGGTGATATCTATG